AAAAAAAAAAAAAAAGATAATGGGATAGTGAACAAAGAAAGTAATGAACACTTAGGTAAATCTAAACAAAATGTTGCTCTCATAAAATAATAAAAATACTGTTTAAGGACAAGACACTACTTGTTCTCCGCTCCCCCCCACCACAATACTCACAGCCTCACCACCAAAATCCGCCTCGGAAGCCATTAGGACTTATCCCATGTGCCCTTGCACCATTTAGTCAATCACCAAGACATCTAAGATTTCTCCATCATCCCAAATCACCCGGACTCACCCTTATAAGTTTTTGTACTTCTTTTTATCTGATATTATCTTCTTAAACCTCCAACACTTCCTCCACTATTCTATTTTTGTTTGAAACAGGGCCTCTATCGTCCAGGCTGAGTGCAATGGCACAATCTCAGCTCACCAGAGCCTCTACCTCCCAGGCTTAAGCTATCCTCCCACTTTAGCCTCCCAAGTAGCTGGGATTACAGGCATGCACCACCAAGCCTGGCTAATTTTTTGTTTGTTTTTGTAGAGACAGGGTCTTGCTATGTTGCACAGGCTGGTCTTGAACTCCTAAGCTCAAGAGATCCTCCCGCCTTGGCCTCCCAGGGTGCTGGGATTTGTAATCCACAGCACCTGGCTTTTCCACCATTCTTCCTTGTTTCTTACCTTCAGCTGATAACTTGGGAAGTCCTCTCTTCCTCTCACACCCCATATCCAATGCATCCGCAACTGATGTATCAACAACTATATCAGCTCTCTGGGGTGGTATTTGGCCAAGAGGGGTAAACTGGAACAATCCACAGCTGGGTAAAATTTGGGGATCCCAGGTACCAGTCTGCCCCACTCCCTGCATGCCTCGTTGCCATGCCTGGGAAAATGGAGGAAATCAAGCACTTTCTGCTCACAGCCTAGCAAAAAGATGCCAAATCTGTCAAGGTCAAGAAAAAGAAGGACAAGCTGGACACAACAGCTCACACCTGTAATCCGAGCACTTTGGCGAAGCTGGCCAATCATGAAGTAAGAGGCTCGAGACAAGCCTGGCCAATATGGTGAAACCCCGTCTCTACTAAAAATACAAAAATTAGTCAGGCGTGGTAGCACGCGCCTGTAGTCCCAGCTACTCGGGAGGGTGAGGCATGGGAGTTGCTTGAACCTGGAAGGTGGAGGTTGCAGTAAGCCAAGATCACATCACTGCACTCCAGCCTGGGCAACAGAGTAAGACTTCCTCTCAAAAAAAAAAAAAAAAGGACAATGCAAAATTTAAAGTTCAATACAGCAGATACCTTTACAGCATTACACCCTGGTCATCACGGACAAAAAGAAGGCGGAGAAACTGAAGCCTCCCTGCCCCCTGATTTGTCAGTGAAGGAGCTGAAATGAACCATACACACTGATTTGAACTGTTTAAAAATACTAAAAATTGTCAGGCGCAGTGGCTCACACCTGTAATTGCAGCACTTAGGGAGGCTGAGGCGGGTAGATCACAAAGTCAAGAGATTGAGACCATCCTGGCCAACATGGTGAAACCCTGTCTCTACTAAAAATACAAAAATTAGCTGGGCATGGTAGTGCACATCTGTAGTCCCAGCCACTTGGGAAACTGAGGCAGGAAAATTGCTTGAACCCAGGAGGCGGAAGTTGCAGTGAGCTGAGATTGTACCACTGTATTCCAGCCAGACAACAGAATAAGACTCTATCTCAAAAACAAACAAATACTAAAAATGTAAACACGTATATACAAAACCAAACAATTGTATCAATTTTTTCTTTAAAATACATCCAGGGCCAGGCATGGTGGCTCATGCTGGTAATCCCAGCACTTTGGGAGGCCAGGCAGGTGGATCGCTTGAGGTCAGGAGCTGAAGACCAGCCTGGCCAACATGGTGAAACCCTATCTCTAGTAAAAATACAAAAAATTAGCTGGGTATGGTGGCAGGCACCTGTAATCCCAGCTATGGAAAGCTGAGGCACGAGAATCACTTGAACCCGGAAGGTGGAAGTTGCAGTGAGCCGACATTGCGACATTGCACTCCAGCCTGGACAACAAAAGTGAAACTCCATTTCTTAAAAAAAAAAAAAAATCCAGAATCTGACCCGAATCTGCCCTCCCCTTCCACTGCTACCACCTTGATTCAAACAATCCCTGTCTCCTCACAGCCTCCAACCTGATTGCCCTATCTCAGCCTTCTCTCCCTATAGCTCATTCTCAGACTCTATGCCTGATTTATTCTTCCAAAGCTCACGTCAGATCCTCCCTCTCCTCTCTTAAGAAACATCTTACTGCTGCTTATCATCTCAGAGAAAAAGCCACAGTCCTCACAATAGCCGATGAGGCTTTATGCCTCCCGTCCTCCCGCAGGCCCTCTCTGAGCTCATCCCTATCACATGCTTGTCATGCTCCACCCACCCAAGCATCCTAAGCGTTTCTGTCTCAGGGTCTTTGCATGTGCTCCACCCTCTGCCTTAAATGTTCTCCCTGATAACCGAGCAGGAATTGCACTTGAGCTGATATATTTATGCTGCATCAAGGTCACTGTCATCTTACCATATCAAACTGAAAATGTCACTGCTATGTGGACAGTAGGACGTATTTTATTGAGTAAATGATTTTCTCTGTTTCCATGCTTCTGCACTAGTGGATTTGTTCAGTAATAAATATGTGTGACCAGGCTGAGCATGGTGGCTCATGCCTATAATCCTACCACTTTGGGAAGCTGAGGTGGGTGGATTGCCTGAGCTCAGGAGTTTGAGACCAGCCTGGGCAATATGGTGAAACCCTGTCTCTACTAAAATACAAATAATTAGCTGGGCGTAGCAGCGTGTGCCTGTAGTCCCAGCTACTTGGGAGGCTGAGGCGGGAGAATTGCTTGAATCCGGGAGGCGGAGGTTGAGTGAGCTGAGATCATGCCTTTGCACTCCAGCCTGGGCGCACACAGTGAGACTCCGTCTCCAAAATAAATAATAAATAAATAAGTGTGAACTTTATCTGAAGAAAAAAAAAGGAAAGAAAGAAAGAAAAACTTGAGTCCTACTGGTCTGTTCACTGCCCCTTCCTACTGCAGCACACTGTCCATGTTTGACCCATCTGGAATGCCTTCTCCTTATCCATTTTCGAGCTTCAGGCCTCGGCCTTCCACAAAGCCCCAGGCCTCAGGCCATTCCCTTGTTCTATCTATGACAACACTCTGAATATTTCCTTCACGAATCATAGAGCTATTTATACAATTATTTTCTTAATGACTATCTCTTCTTTCGGAAATACTTTCATTTTTGTTTTTAAATTTTAAATGTTAAATTGTAGTAATTTATTTATTTATGTCTTTATTTATTTATTTTGAGACTAAGTCGCACTCTGTCACCCAGGTTGGAGTGCAATGGTGCCATCTCAGCTCACTGCAACCTCCACCTCCTGGGTTCAAAGTGATTCTCCTGCCTCAGCCTCCTGAGTAGCTGGGATTACAGGCGTGCATCACCCCAGCTGGCTAATTTGTGTATTTTTAGTAGAGATGCGGTTTCACAGTGTTGGCCAGGCTGGTCTTTAACTCCTGACCTCAGATGATCTGCCAGCTTCGGCCTCCCAAAGTACTGTGATTACAGGTGTGAGCCACCGCGTCCGGCCAAATTGTAGTAATTTATTCCTGAATAAGCAGAATATTTACATCATTCACACTGTGAATTCACACTGTGAGTGACGTACTAAAGGCTGTGCATTGAAGTCTCCTTCTCACTCTTCTCCAGCCCCTCCACTCACCTCTCCAGGATGTCCATGTAAGTAGAGTCGTGTGTTTCCACAAATAACATTTTATGCATATGTAAATAAACATGCACCTATTCTTCCTCTTCCCCACCACTTTTTTTTTTTTGGCACAAATGATACTAAATTATATACATTGGTCTTTTTGCTGTCTCCCCTCTCCTGTTGTCTCATGTCTTTTACTCATTTTACTCAGTTATTTATTTAATTCAGTTTAGTGATATCTCAAGGGAATAAAGATGAATCCCCATTTCATTTGTCATGTTTAACTAGAGCTTAAATGGAATTTTTTTGTTCTCATTTCTTTCTCTTTTTTAAAACAAATTTAACATGGACAATCCCTACTGTAATTTTTTATTTAACTTGGACAATCCCTACTGCAGAATTCATTTATTTTTGTAATCACTCATGAGCAATGTAAAGGAAGCATCTATGTGTTTATCTTCTACCCAAACATTTAAGATTGGCAAATATGGCCAGGGGCAGAGGCTCACACCTATAATCCCAGAACTCCGGGAGGCCGAGGCAGGCAGATCCCTTCAGCTCAGGAGTTCAGGGCCAGCTTGGCCAGCATGGTGAAACCTCATCTCTACTAAAAATAGAAAAAAATTCTGGGCATGGTGGTACACGCCTGTAGTCCTAGCTACCCAGGAGGCTGACGTGGGAAGATCACCGGAGCCTGGGAGGCTGAAGCTGCAGTGGGTGAGCCATGAGCAATGGTTGTGTCACTGCACTCCAACCTGGGTGATAGAGAAGGACCCTGTCTCAGCGGGCACAGTGACTCACACCTGTAATTCCAGCACTTTGGGAGGCTGAGGCAGAGGATCACTTGTGGTCGGGAGTTCAAGACCACCCTGGAAACTTGGCAAAACCTTGTATCTACTAAAAATGCTGAAGAATTAGTCAGACGCGGTGATGCATACCTGTAATCCCAGCTACTTGGGAGGCTGAAGCAGGAGAATCACTTGAACCCAGGAGGTAGAGGTTGCAGGGAGCAGAGACGCCACTGCACTCTAGCCTGAGCAACAGAGTGAGACTCCATCTCAAAAAAAAAAAAGAAGAAGAAAAGGAAGACCTTGTTTCAAAAATGATAATAATTTAAAAATTAGCCAGGCATGGTGGCACACACCTGCAATCCTAGCTAATTGGGAGGATAAGGCGGGAGGATTACTTGACCTCAGGAGGTCAAGACTACCACAAGCAGTGATTGTGCAAGTGCACTGCAGCCTGGGCAACAGAGCAAGACCTTGTCTCAAAAAAAAAAAATTGGGGGGCCTGGCACGGTGGCTCACGCCTATAATCCCACCACTTTGGAAGGCCAAGGAGGGCGGATCACCTGAGGTCAGGAGTTCAAGACCAGCCTGGCCAACATGGTGAAACCCCGTCTCTACAAAAATTTAGCCGGGCATGATAGCAGGTGCCTGTAATCCCAGCTACTTGGGAGGCGGGAAGCAGGAGAATCACTTGAACCCGGGATTCAGAGGTTGCAGTGAGCTGAGATTGCCTCATTGCACTTCAGCCTGCACGTCAGAGTAAAACTTTATCTCAAAAAAAAATTTTTTTTAAAGAAATCGTGCTATCACCTACTCTTGGTGAGGGCATAGACACTTACATAGATGTCTAAAATTTTTAGGAAACAATGTGGCATTCTCTTTTAAAATAAAAAATACAGTGTTCTGGCTGGACTTGGTGACTCATGCCTTTAATCCTTGCACTTTGGGAGATGGAGGCAGTAGAATCATATGAACTCAGGAGTTTGAGACCAGCCTGAGCAACATAGAGCAACCTCATCTGTATTTATAAAATAAACATACACACACACACACTCATGTACATACACACACACACACATACACACACCACACACACACACACACACACACACACACAAATGGAATGCTATATGTATATATATAGTGTTCCTTTAGAAGCACTGACCATAATTGACTGTTTCTTTTATTACATTACTTTCCTTGGCTTCAGGGATACGTCAATCTCCTTGCCTTCCTTTCTACACTTTCTTTCTTTGCCTTCTTTGTAGAATTATCCTCCCCTCCCTGGCAATAGGTCATGGAAGTCCTCAGGGCAGCTCTGATACC